TTCTCGCGATCCAGCGATCTGGGTCAGTGTTATAGTGATAATATTATAAACAAGGTGAATTTAGCGATCACAACGAAAACAGCCAAGACACATATTGAGCCCAGAAAATAAATGTTATTAGGGGCTGTAAATATAATAAGCCTTTGTCTAAAATGGACAACATTGTAACTAAGGAGATTTAAACTATATATACAGCCAGGGGACGTTCGGGACGAATCCCGATGGGCCGGTACTGAAGTGGGCCGGTCGGATAAGTCACTGCTCACCCCCCCTCCCCCCCCGTCGACAATTTCCTCGCGGTATTGACTTGCGGCACCACCGAGGTGGGCCGCTTACTTGCGGTACCGAGGTGGGCCGGCGGTACCGAAGTGGGCCGGTCGAGAGTCCCGGGCTGATTTGTAGTCCCAGTCCGCCCCTGTATACAGCGATTCTGCACTCGGTCAATCAGCTGCTTTTCATTTTTATTCCTGCTATATTCAATGAGTGATACAAATATTTTTTACCACAAGTTCTTAATAAAACTGACACTGTTGGACTTGGTACTAGTTGACTGCAACCAGAAATAAAATGAAGTACTTTACTGTGTACTTTGTGAGTAATCCTCTGTCAGAGTCCCCTCCATAGTACATAATGCATGTTTTTTGCTATCTTTGATGAATGATAAAAGGGTCATTCCAGAATTGGAGGACAATTTAGACACCAACATTTTTGAAAAATGAACCTTTCATTTTATTATTTTTTGTTATGTATTTAGGAAAAACAGATAATAAACCATAAAAAAAAGTGATTTGCCCAGCTAAGGCATCAAATGTATATTTTCCAATGAAGAATTAACCCTGTTACTCTAATTATAGTAACAGGGTTGCAAGTAACAGGGTTGAAAATCAATGCTAATTTGAGCTTTTACCTCAGGAATTAATGCTAGCTGCACAATGTAATGCTATTGTCAAGGAATGGCCACACTTTATATTATATTTATATTTATATATATTCAACAAAAGAAAGATACATTTGAAATTAATTAGTTTTTGTCTCATAATTTGAGTAACAGGGTTGCGTTTGTATGAGTGCCACACTCCTTCAAGAGTGACAAGATTGGAAATATATTACAAATAAAAGAGAGGACTTAGTTTTGGTCTACCCATGGTAGTAGCACATGGCTTGCTGATGTCCTTTCCACTGTGTCATGCGACAAACAGTTTTTTCACTTCCTCTGCCAAGCTAAAAAGGTTTCGGTAGGGTTGCGCGCATGTTGAGGGACACACCTTCTGTGCAAAATGACTGTTATTTAAAATGTGTTTATGATTTAACAAATTGATTTTACCATTACAAGACACATATATCAATAGAATAATACCAAAAAAGTAAATAAAAACCCTATTTTAAATGTTATAGTTGACATGCAAGTTGGTCACCAAGAAGCTGGGACAAGAGAAAAGGGCAATTTTAGGGGGTGTTCGAGAGCTATTTGATATTTTAAATAATATTTTGAAACCACTTTTTCTACAACTTTATATGCATCTTGTCTCAAGACAAGTATATTTAACACAGCAAGTGCATGTCTTAGCTTTTTGGGCATGGATTATTAGATTTTTTATATGGGGGACATGAAATGTCCTCCAATTCTGGAATGACCCAAAAATAAAATGTTACCATTAGTTCTTAATGAAATTGATACGGTTTGACTTTGTATTAGTAAGCCTACTACTAACAATACATTGAAGTACTTTTACTGTGTAGTTTTTGAGAAATACTCTGTCAAAGTCCCCTCCTGAGAACAAAATCAAGCCACTTCTTCTAAGTTTGATGAGGGAAAAAAATATTTTTTGGGTGATTTAATGGGTGATGTAACATTAATGACAGACATAATATGAGGTCCTTGGCACTCTAGAGGGGTCATTTTGTGATCATGGGGCATCACCCTTACAGCATCAGGACAATATCATATGGAGTCAGATACTGGAAGTGGGCTGGAGGCGTTAACTGGGACTGATGGAAGGATGAGGCTGATGAGACTGAAGAATCTGCGAGGAACGAACTAGCAGCGGAGGAATAATTATATATTAAAAGACAGCAGCATCATAAGAGGGCAACCATGTGACAGAGTGTGTTACTTTGCTGAAGGATATTTGTGACCAGCTATCCATTCCAGGCCAGACTCTAAAGACTTTCCAAGGTGTGAAAATGCTGCTGCCGGAGTACTGACTGGAAGTATTGCTGATATCATGTCTACCATCCTCTTAAAATACTCTGTCCAACAATATCAGTCTCAGGAAGAAATGTTTTTTAACGCTTATTAAAAGAAAAACTTGCATTCTTGTACTCAGGAGGGGACATTGACAGAGGATTACTGGAAAAGTACACAATAAGTACTTCATAGTACTTGTGGGGGTAGTTTCAGTAGTACTGAGTCCAACAGGATCAATCTCACGAAGAACTAATGGCAACAAAAAAGAATTCCCTCATCAAACTTAGCAGAAGTGGCTTGATTTTGTTCACAGGAGGGGACTTTGACAGAGTATTTCTCAAAAAATACACAGTAAAAGTACTTCAATGTATTGTTAGTAGTAGGCTTACTAATACAAAGTCAAACCGTATCAATTTCATTAAGAACTAATGGTAACATTTTATTTTTATCATTCATCAAAGATAGCAAAAAACATGCATTATGTACTATGGAGGGGACTCTGACAGAGGATTACTCACAAAGTACACAGTAAAGTACTTCATTTTATTTCTGGTTGCAGTCAACTAGTACCAAGTCCAACAGTGTCAGTTTTATTAAGAACTTGTGGTAAAAAATATTTGTATCACTCATTGAATATAGCAGGAATAAAAATGAAAAGCAGCTGATTGACCGAGTGCAGAATCGCTGTATACAGGGGCGACTGGGACTACAAATCAGCCCGGGACTCTCGACCGGCCCACTTCGGTACCGCCGGCCCACCTCGGTACCGCAAGTAAGCGGCCCACCTCGGTGGTGCCGCAAGTAAATACCGCGAGGAAATTGTCGACGGGGGGGGAGGGGGGGTGAGCAGTGACTTATCCGACCGGCCCACTTCAGTACCGGCCCATCGGGATTCGTCCCGAACGTCCCCTGGCTGTATATATAGTTTAAATCTCCTTAGTTACAATGTTGTCCATTTTAGACAAAGGCTTATTATATTTACAGCCCCTAATAACATTTATTTTCTGGGCTCAATATGTGTCTTGGCTGTTTTCGTTGTGATCGCTAAATTCACCTTGTTTATAATATTATCACTATAACACTGACCCAGATCGCTGGATCGCGAGAAACACCTGTCATCAGACTGGCAAGGGCTGTTCCATGCTCTGCTCAACCTCCCGTCTTCCCAATGGACTCAGTAGCGCCCCCTGCTGTCGTGTAGCATGTGTGAGTGAGCATGTGTGACTGTGCATGAGCCAGCCACGGCGGAATATTACTGCCAAAAGTCACGTGAGTGAGTCACGTGACTTTTGGCAGTAATATTCCGCCGTGAGAAGAAAAAGTTTTGTACTTGTAAAAAAAAGTTTTGTAGTTGTAAAACAAAGTGTTGTAGTTGTAAAACAAATTTGTGCACTTGTAAAAAAAAGTTGTGTACTTGTAAAACCTAAGCTGAATTTGTCTCTGAAACATGATTTATTAGAAAAATGTTATGTGTTTGTTTGATAGATACGTTTTTTCTTTGCAAAACTAAATTCATTAGTTTGTAGATGGTGTTTTGTATTTGCAAACCACATTGTGTTTGTTAGTGAATCATAAGGCATTTGTAGAATAGAAGAATAGGGAGGGATGAACACCTCTTTAATGGTCACACATGCAGAGCACACAGCACACACAGTGACATTTGGCCTCTGCTTTTAACCCATCCTAGTACAAGGAGTCTAGTACTAGCAGCAGTGGGCAGCTATTGTACAGCGCCCGGGGAGCAATGGGAGTGGGGGGGGGAGGGGGGTGTCCTGTGCCTTGCTCAAGGGCACCACGGCAGGGCAGGAGGTGAACTGGGACCTCTCCAAGTAGAAGTCCACACTCCATATTTAGGTCTGGTCGGGGACTTGAACCAGCGACCCTACGGCTCCCAGTCCAAGCCCCTACTGACTGAGCCACTGCCGGACATTTGTAAAACCTGTTTAGTTTGTTTGTGGAGTTATGGCAGGAAATTAGCTCCATATCCTCTACCACAACCATCAGCAACAAGTGGACATGGAGAATTACATGTCCACTTGTTGCTAAATCCACCGCGGGGCATAAACAGAAGGGTAGCCATGGCAACATTGCTGCGGGGCCGCTCCGGGGTTTTCTTCGCACACACACACACACAAACACACACACACACACACACACCCCTCATTTATGTCTGGTATTGTAAAATTCTAAATAATGTATTTTCAAAAAAAATTAAAGAGTCTGTGTGAGGACCAAAAAGGTAGTTTGTTGCCTGAGGGGCAACAGTATGCCATAGATCACTTTGTAACAATATTTATTGATTTATTGATATATTTATTATTTGAATGAGCTCAAAGGTTCATAATTAGTCTACTTCAATTAGTTGTGTAGATGGCATGTCAAAATGGCTTAAATTGTCTTTTTTATTTTTCTTGATTTCTTTTAATTATTTTAAGGAGATCTTCAGAAATGGAAAGGGAGAAAGGAGCACAGATTAGGAGGGAGGGGGGGGATGTAACACCTCCAGCAGCCCCCATCCTGTATTGTTTTAAAACTCTCTCCTAGGGTCTGCTTCTTATCTGTGTCTCAGGGGTTTGTGAGGGTCGTTAACTAGTCTTTGTTGTTGAAAATATAGTATCTCAACTTGGTCGTTAATTGTCTTTTACAGAATATCAATGTATTCTCGAAGAATGTAGTTGAAGTCCCTTTGGCTTTGAGCCGCTTCTTCTAATGTGAAACATTAAGCCGTTTGATGAACAAAAGATGACCACTATATCATTTTGACTATATCTTTTTATATTTTGTATTACATGAATTCCTTCTTTGGATGCAGACGCTAAATCGTGTCACATCGTCCAGTTGGGGGCCAGCTGTGAAAACCATACCATCTTCAACCGCTACATCCTCCCCGGCATCCCCATCGAATACGGAGCGACAGAAGTGAACGGCCTCACCGTCAGTTATGGCCAGCTGTTACTCCACGGAGAGCCTGTGAGAACTGTGTCTCTTTACCATTCTTTAAAATCCTTCATCGACTACCTTTGCAGGTTCCCCGGCCCCGTGCTGCTGGCGGCCCACAACGCATGGAAATTTGATCAAATTGTGCTCATGAGAGTGCTGAGGAAGTTCTCTCTCTTTGAGCAGTTCAAACAGGTGGTGTCTGGGTTTGTGGATACCTTACCACTGAGCAAGAAGCTCTATCCTCAACTGAAACGTTTTAATCAGCCGTATCTGGTCCGCTGCTTCCTGGGAGAGGGATACAATGCTCATAATGCAGTGGAGGATGCCAAACTGCTGGAAGAGCTGTTTTACAATTGTTGGGATCCCGACAATGATGACATCAGTGAGTTCACCGACTGGATCTACGCTTTAAAATAAGCTACAGAACAACATTAAAATATTAGAGGTTAATATTTGTTGTTTTGTGTTCTCATCATGTACCCACAGGTGGTTGTACATGACATAACACAAAACGTGGGATTTATGACATAATGCTTGTGACACCTTGAACTCCATGTTAAATAATGCGCATACTTTTTGATGTTCTGTGTCATGCTCAAAGTGTTTGTTTTTGGATTTCCTTTAAATTGAAGCATAATGTTTAAATTACCATTAAACTTTCATTTGACTCTTCTATACAATTTCTTCAACTCATTTCTAGCCATCATTCAGGGAGAAATGTTTACTCCTTGAAGGCATGGCATGCTTTGTTTTTCAAACATCATATATCATTATATTCATTATCTTCCCTACCTGTAGTAATGAACTTGTAAACAACTATATTCAGTGGCATTATATCCACCAACAACATCATTGTTAGAGATATACACTCAGTGGTGTTAAGTAACTAAGTAGATTTACTCAAGTAATAAGAACAATTTTGAGATACTTGTTTGATTTTAGAATCAGAACTTTACTTTACTTGAGTATTTCCATTCTACTCCACTACAATTCAGAGGTAAATGGTGTACTTTTACCCCACTACATTTATTTAAAGGTAGGGTAGGTAAGTTTGAGAAACCGGCTCGAGATCGCTAGAATTTGAAAATACACAACCGGAGAAAATCTGCCACTTCCTTACAGAGCCCCTCCTCCAACACACACGAACGCGCACATGACCAATGAGGGCACGAGATAAGTTTGTACACAGATGGAAGGCTGACAGGCAGGTAGGCCATCCAGTTATTTTAGCCGGGCCGGCTAAAATGATTGGTCGTGCTTTTTACAGTATTATGGCTTCCACAGATGACATTTTTTTATGGATTTTTTGTCAAAGCACTTAAGATATTCATTGCTATCGGGATGTTAAGAGCATTCCATGGAATATTACAAAAAGTGTATCTCGAGCCGGTTTCTCAAACTTACCTACCCCACCTTTAATATCTTTAGTCACTATACATATTTGGATGAATGATGTGAAATATAATCAACCCTTAAATCAGACTTTAGTTTCACCTGGAGTAAATTCACAAGCTACCCTGCAGTATACAAAGTCATTCAAACTAGCTGCTCCTTTACCAGCTTTGAGAACACTTTAATGCATCAATCATTATTGTTGGGGGAAAATACTGTTTGCTACTGTTATCATATATTGTTGGAACTGTGCATGCCCCTGCAGATGCCTCCTGTAAGGAATGCAGGAGAGAACAGTCTGTCTTTTCCGTGGATAAACAAATGAATCAAGTCTTGGTGCCTCCGGGTTAAATCTTCCCCTTCTGCTACAAAAGTGCCATTTAAGACAACACGTGTTGCTCTGTAGATTGGAAAAAAGCCTCTTCTTTAAACCAAAGTGTCTGTAAAATGAATATAAGTATTATCTGTCAGTTACCACAAAGAACCTGAATAATCCTGAACAATTTTTGGAAAGCCATAAAATCGATATCCACCGGTGATATCCGTAATGAGCTACCTCCGTGCATTACCACAGCATCTGGCACTATATCGGACAGGGCCACTATGTTAAATTGTTTTAATGAGCATTTTGTGTCCTGTGGCTCTCTGTTTGATTCTGTGACTAACTCTGCTTCTGTGAACACCACAGTCTGTGACTCTGAAAAACGTGTTTTGGAAAACCCTTTCAGTTTTACTCCTTTTACTGTTGATGTTGTTCGTGAAGCTTTAACCAAGTTAGATCCTAAGAAACCGGCTGGCCCGGACAACGTAGAACCTTTCTTTTTAAAGATAGCTGCAGATTTTATTGCTCCACCTCTCACTACTCAGTAAACTTTAATATAATGAGGATACACATCATAGTGACGGATAAAGTGTCAGTTTTTGCCATCATTCATTATCTGTCTGTGTCGTCTGTACATTTAATTTTCATAATGTGAATCAACAGTTCTTGTTATTCTGTCATGTAGTAGCTCAAGTTTTTTTATTGTGTTTGAGCAGAAACGTGAAGGCATTAACCCTCCTGTTGTCTTCGGGTCAAATCTGACCGATTTACTACTTTCATCAATCATAACTTTTTTGTTTTACATTCGATTGCATTCGATAGACATTTGAACATATACAATTGCTGATCACCACTTTCATTGAATTTTGGATGATTTAGTCAACTTTGTAACACCCATGGTGTTCCCGGTCAAAAATGACCGCCATAAAGAAAAGGAATTAATAACCATCCGGATCAGATAAAACACACACACACACACACACACACACACACACACACACACACACACACACACACACACACACACACACACACACACACACACACACACACACACACACACACACACACACACCCTTCCCCCCACATGGATCACACCTGGCACACGCAATACATGTTCAGTGTCTATTCTTTGTATATTTACTGCAGTTGTTCATGTATACCAGTAGTCTGATACAATTTTTACAGTTTGAAAGGGTGTTAAATGAAATGTGGTGATGATTAAAGGTTTTTGTGTTAATGTAATAGCAGTTAAAACAGGACCGCTCAAATTTGACCGTGAACACCAAAGTAAGGGGGGGAACACGAAGACAATAGGAGGGTTAATACTGTTTATATCCGTGTGTGTCCAGTTTGCTGATGGCGTGTACCTGATATTGCTGATGGGGCTGCTCGAAGACTACTTTGTCCCTCTGTTCAACTTCTTCCTCACTCCTGAGAGCTTCGAACGGAAGGTGAGTACACCTCCTCAAAAAGTGGAAATTGTCAGTCAAAAAAGAAGACTTTTAGCAACTCATCACTGAATTGAGTTTTCATGTTGTTACCCTGCAGGTCCACAATGTGGCGTTTGCCTTTGAGCTGATGCAGGATGGAGGCCTGAAGAAACCCAAAGCCAGACCAGAAGGTATTTTATAGATGTGTTACACAATTACAAGATCAGAAGACAATTTTCCAGAGGAGACTTTATGGAGACTGACCTGGATTACTTGCTGAAAAGACCCTCTAAAAACAATGTTTAATGGTTGTCATATTAAAAGATGTCCAGGAGATGGAGACCTTGCTTCACCCTTAAACTCTCATACTGAATACATGTTGCTGAGTTAATTTGGCCCTGGGATAAACTTTTTTATAATATAATTTAAAGCTGATACTTCAAGAAATATTACTAACTGGGGTCACGTAGTTGTTGCTTTTTCTGTTGGTTATTAATAGAGATGCAGATAGTTGCATTTTATGTACCCATTTTACTCTGCACCCCCTGTAGAGTTGGAAATGCTATTACAGAAATAGCTTTCAGAGCGTGATCTAATACAGTTGAATGATCACGTACTTAAACTGTAATCAGTATTTTGCTTTATTGAAGCATTCAAATTTAAATCAGAAACTGTAACTTACATTAAAGGCCTAAAAGTTAAGTCACTCTAGGTCTGGCCTTCCCAGAAATAAAGAAAGTGTTTCCATTCAACCGGTCACCTGCTGGCAAATATCAGAAAAAATGTATCGACATGTGGTTTTTAAACAAAGTTTTGGATCAAACAGTGAGACTGACAATACTTGTAACAGACCCCAGTGACGTTTTGTCTTCTGCTACTCCTTCACTCGTCAACAGTGCTGAGCAGCATGAAGCTTTAGCACGCTCTGTCTTTATAAAGAGTCCCATTTTACCCAGAATGTAAATTGAACTATACCTTTATAGAATCTATAGACATACTTTTTGTTAGATCTATAAGCCAACCTTAATGTGTGTTTAAATAAACAACTCCAAAGGGACCTGAAACAAATTAAAGATGGAAAACACCTACAGAGCAGGGCTGTCCTCAACTAAAGACATTTTAGTCCAATCGGAAAAGTCGACTAATCGATAATTTTTTCTTCATCTGTAGAGCTACATTTTCTCCACAAAGAAACAATGCTTTCAATCGTGTGTTTATCGTGCGCCACAAAGTGCCTAAAAAAGGATACATTTTGAAATTGCAGTCCTACTACAGAGAGATGAGTGAAAACAAGCTCCAAAAGAACATTTTGAAGGAGGTGTCGAAAAACACGCCAACCATCCCTGCCTGCTAGCAGCCAGGAGAAATGATGAAGGGCAACCAGGAGAGACTGAATGAGTAACACCTGTTGAGCTTAACTGAACCTCAGTCCAGATACAGTATGTCCCCCCCCCCCCCCCCCCCCCCCCCTGCAGCTCAGCAGGCCGGCCTAAACCTGCACTCACACTATTTCACTGTTACAGTCCAGCTACTTTACATATCCAAGCTGTAGGTGTGTGTAGTGGCAAACTGTATATGTAGTGGAAAACTCTATATGTAGTTCAAACTTTATATGTTGCCTAATATGGTAAAACCAAATGCAGTAGTTCCATGATGATGTATTTTAATTCATGGCCTTTGTTCAACTTATGACTAACCTTGAGAATGTCTGGGGGTGAGAGACAGTGTCGTGAGCAAGCTCCTTAAGAGCATCTGTGTGTCAGGCACAGTGTCTTGAACAAGTTCCTGTGTTTGTTCCCTGTCCTACAATGAGTTCCTAATTTCCTAGTTATATCTGTCTTAACCTTACAATGAGTTCCTGTTTTCCTCACTTGTACCTGTCTTTGACCCACAATGTGTTCCTAATTTCATCACATCTGTCTTAAACCAGTTCCTGTCTTTAACTAGTTCCTGATTTACTATATTAGCAATGTACAGTTTCTGTTCCTCTGGAAAGCAGGCGTAGCTGATCTCTCCATCCAGCCCTGCCATAGTGACAGGTGACGTAGTGTTGTTGAACTGTCAAGATCCTATAAAACCTATACACACCCTTGGCCCTGTGTGCACTCTTGCAGACTACTCTGTACTCTGTGAGATATGTACCTTCGAAGCGCTTCGAATAAAGAACCAGAAAGACAACTCTGTTTGTTTCACCAGTTTATTGATTGATCATTCTAATTGTATATCTCCACAGTATTGGCTAGGTCTAAGATTTCCAGAACATGTGTCTCCAAAGTGAGAGCAGAGCAGGGTAAAGCAGAGTAGTAAACCTTGCATAGTGCTGAGAGTATCTATCACAAGATCCCGTGCACTTCTTCAAATCATGATGTCACCTGATGAAGGTGCTCTGCATGATTGCATCTGTGGCACAATACAGTTTCTGATATTGCATCGCTGTTACAATACTTTACACACCCAATACAATTCAAACATGTGGCCCACAATAACATAGGGCAATAGCTGTTTTCATTTTTATTAAAGTGTTATTTGCAACCCTGTTACTCTAATTATAATATTACATTACATGTTACTTGTTAGACGCTTTTATCCAAAGCGGCTTACATACTCAATACTGTGGGCAATCCCCACAGGAGCAATTTGGGGTGAAGTGTGTTGCCCAGGGACACAACGACATGCTGACTGCAGTGGGGTTTGAACCTCTGACCCCCTGTTCCGAACACCAACGCACAACTCACTGCACCACATGCCAAATACATAATAATAACAGGGTTGATTCTTCATTGAAAAATATATATAAAATATTATCAATCAACATTTCTGTGGTCCTGAGTATTTATTTGTCACATTTATGTCATGATCTACAATAAAAAAGTAATGTAGCCATTCAACCCTGTTACTTTACGCAACCCTGTTACTCTAATTTCAACCCTGTTACTATATCATTTTCTACTAAAATAATCAAATTAAACCAGTTATCCAAAAACGACATGAGTATTTAATGTAAATGTGACTTTCTTTACTTAATAGTAAATAATTTGATTGAAGAATATTTTTTTCTGCTTAATGAGTATTTGTAACAGGGTTGCACAAAGCATGGCACACAACAAATAAAACATCTAATAAAAAGTACATTTGATGCCTTAGCTGGGCAAATCAATTTTGTGATGGTTTATTATCTGTTTTTCCTAAATACATAACAAAAAATTATAAAATAAAATTTTCATTTTTCAAAAATGTGGATGTCTAAATTGTCCTCCAATTACTACGTTTTGTGTACTGTCGTGTTTCAGAATTCCTCTGCGAAGCAAGGAGTCGGACCAGGCAATAAAGTTATAATAAAGCTGATTTATTTCAGTTGTGATAAGGAATATAATTTCTCAGCTGAGGTCTCTGGAGATCAGTGATCCACAGACCGCGAGCAGTTTCCACTCCAAGCAGTTAACTGTCTCACACTTCCTTCCAGAGCCCCGAAAACCGGCAAAACACATTTCATATACTTATTACAGATAAAAGGTGTCATATTCTGATTGGATATGTATATTTCTGAGTGAGGTGCCGTAGATTTCTGATTGGAATACAGGCGAGCCCACGCCTCTTGGCTTCGTCCAGGTCCGACATGCAGGTCCAGTCTTCTTCCCAAGCTCATCCAGGCCCTACACTATACTGACTGTTTCTCCTGTCACGTGCTAAGCTCTGAACTGCTCGTGCCTGGCACGGTGCCATCTCCTGAACCTCAGTGAATAACTCAGTGCACAATCTAATAAAAGTAGCAGAAAAGCAGTTCCTTCCTTATGTTTTGCTCACCATTAACACTGTCATGAAGCTCACTTCTCTTCATAGTTTAAGACCTTCTGGTAGCACATTATTCATAAACATTTCTTTATGAGCAAGCAATAATATTCTTCAGTTCCTAAGTGAAAGTAGATGTACCAGAGTGTAGGAATACTCTGTTACAAGTACAATTTCTGCATTCAAAATGATACTCAAGTAGTAAAAGTACAAAATGACTAGCTTTAAAATATACTTAAAAGTGTTGTTTAACCTTTGACACAGTTCATCCATCTCTCCTTCCTCTGTCTCCTTTCCCATGGCATAGGTCTTCGGCTTTGGGGAGTGGTTGCTATCTCCTTTAGGGAGGAACTGCTCTGGCTTTTTTTTGTTGCCGGTTCAGTCCTTCTTATCGGGTGCGTAGGTCCCACTGGCATACATTCTTTGGCCATGGACGACAGTTTTAGTTAGATTTAGTGTCCACACTTTTTTAGTCTTGCTAATGGAGACTGTTGATTATACACTCTGAACTAGTTAAAACCTCCGACTAAGGGACAGATCTTCAGAATTGGTTTTGCTTCCCCTGTGTCAACCCACACGTCATGTTAATTCTCCGGCCGCAACTTCAAATAGACCATCAGTTTCTGCCATCAAGCTCCAACTCTCCCCAGAAGTTTCCATTACAAAAAGTACCAAAAGTAAAAGTACTCATTATGCAGATTGGCCCATTTCAGAATAATATATATTTAATATGTTTTTATTAGAATTGTTAGGAAAAATATCACTCGACACCGGCTTGAGAATCAATGATCAGCTCCAAATGTATTCTTGCGAGAAGGAGCAGAGTTTAATCACATACAGAGAGATGGTTCAACTCACACACACAAGGTTTGCTGATCAAAGCAGCAGAAAGACAGTTACACTTATATAGTCTTCACGGCATTTAGCACCATAGTCGCAAATTAGGTAGGCTACAGATGGGAAAAGACTGTAGTCTGACCTGCTCGTGTATAGGTTCTCTTTACGGCAGTCGAATGTTGGGAATGCAGGAGAGAACAGTCTATCTTTTCCGTGGATAAACAAATGAATCAAGTCTTGGTGCCTCTTGTCTTACAGGAGGCATCTGCAGGGTCATGCACAGTTCTAACAGTACAAGATAACAATAGCAAACAGTATTGTTCCCCAACAATAATTATTGATGCATTAAAGTGTTATAAAAGCTGGTAAAGGAGCAGCTAGTTTTAATGACTTTGTATACTGCAGGGTAGCTTGTGAATTTACTCCAGGTGGAACTAAAGTCTGATTTAAGGGTTGACTATATTTCACATCATTAATCCAAATATGTAAAGTAACTAAAGATATTAAATAAATGTAGTGGAGTAAAAGTACACCATTTACCTCTGAATTGTAGATGAGTAGAAGT